ACATTAACAATGGTTATCTTTGAGGGGGAGGATTATGGGTGAGTTATATTTTATGCTTGCTTATCTGTATTTTCTAAATTTTCTAGAATGAACAGATGCAACTTTTATAATCAGAAAAAAGTATGTGTGAATACATATATGTGTGTATGTATAATTATAATTTTTTAAAAAAGCAAAGGTTTGCAATATCAAGTGAGAAAGGAAAATATCAAAAACCTACACAATAGATGGGATGGGTCCCTGGTTCCCACCCTGGATCAAATTCTGCTGTTGACATGGAGAGCTGGGAAAAGAACACAATGACAAGAAGAACCAAGAATTCAGAAAAACAAGTGAAAAAAACATTCAAGTCAGAAGCAGGAAAATGGTACCAAAGAGAGACAGTAATTTGATAAAGGAAAAAGCTGACTGGAAGTGAGACCCTGGGCAAGTCTTTTACTCTCTCTGGGCCTCAGTTTGCCCTTTGTGAATAAAAAGGTTAAACTAGATGACCTCTAATAGCTCCTCCAGTCAGAGAGCCAAATAATTTCACTTGCCAAATATTCATTGAGCACTTAACTATAAACTTCTGAGCTGTGTCTGAAGGCAGAGAACTGCCTCCAGGGATGAAAGGACCTTCATTATTTCCCTTTAAGGGGAGAGACCACAGGGAAGATTCTTAAGTAATTAAGAAGTGGATCAAAAGCAAAACAGCGGAGAGTTGAGGCTTGCAAAGTTTCACTGAAATAAAGGTGACTAAGTGAAGCACGTGGTACTTGGTACCCGACTCACCAAGAACAGTGACACTCAGCTCAGGAGACAGCTCTCAAAGAGACATGTGTAAAGCACGGTGCCTAGAACCCAGTGGATGTTTGACAGATGTTAGCTGTTATTACTGTTGTTGTTACTGCTGTTTTTGCTATTATAAATAGAGTATCCACCAGGTTCAATGCACTGTGCCAGACAGTTTTGGAGTTTATCAATATGAAACATTTGGGTGGATTAATTAGCTAATTCAGGGGGTTGGCAAACTCTGACCCACAATCCAAATTGGCCTGCAGCCTGTTTTTGTAAATAAAGTTTTATTGGAACACACACACACACACACACA